CTTCAAAAACAGACTCCAACGAGAGACTGCTGAGGTGGAATTGATATGCAAACTAGATACAATCAACTCAGGATTGAATAAGGACTGGGAATGGCTGAGCCATTACAAACATTGAATCTATCTCCCCTTGTAAGTATTCTCACACTTACTATCAAACTTTCTGTATTGGGCTATCTTGATTATCACTTCAAAAGGTTTTTTCCTCTTACTTAATTGGCCTCTCAGAGTTGGTAAGACAACTCCCACCTGTTCATGCTCTCTGTATGTGTGTATATATATCTCCTCTATATATGTTTCACTCTATATGCATCCGAAGAAGTGGGCTGTAGTCCACGAAAGCTTATGCTCTAATAAATTTGTTAGTCTCGAACGTGCCACAAGTACTCCTGTTCCTTTTGCGGATACAGACTAACACGGCTGCTACTCTGAAACCTTGCAGAAAGATAGTAAGCATTTGCCAAATTTTTTTTGGAACCAAGAACCAGTATCCAACTTCAGGATTAAACTAGTGACAATGCACTTAACATTGGCCGCTAGTTTGTAGTGTGTGGTATCTCTTGCTTAAATAGAAAGTATGATGCAACAGCTGTGTTTGTGTGCATAAACGGTTGTCTCTCCCACATTAACAGCCTCATCAAGTACTTCTAAAGTTGACTTTGACAGTGATAGCATTAGAAGGCTTTCTTCATGTCGATGCAGTCCAAGGACTTGGTGTGTTGCAGCCTTTTCATGTAGTTTGTCAGCATTGGCTTTGCTGATCAGCCTGGCAAAACAAGCTCCTCCACATTTACTATATAAATCCATGAGACGCCCACGTCTTGAATACCATGGTGCAGATTTGGTCACACCATCTCAAAGATATATTGGAATTAGAAAAGGTACATAGAAGGTCAACAAAAATAATTAGAGCTATGGAATAGCTTTCCATATGAAGATCGATTAAAAGGATGGGGCTTTTCAAGTTGAAAAAGAGACGACTAAGGGGGGATATGATAGAGGCCCATAAAAATCTTGACTGGTGGGGAAAAAGGTGAATAAGGAAATGTTATTTACTCCATCACATAACACAAAATCCAGGGGTCACCCAATGAAATTAATAGTCAGCAGGTTTAAAACAAAAGAAGTACTTCCTCTCACAACACAGACAACCCATGGAACTTGTTGCCAGGGAATGTTGTGAAGGCCAAAACTATAACACGGCTCAAAAAAGAACTAAATAAGTTTATGGAGGATAGGTCCATCAATAGCTATTAGCCAGAATGGGCAGGAAGGCAACACTATGCTCTGAGTGTCCCTAGCCATTGTTCACCAGAAGTTGGGAGTGAACAAGGGATGGGTCACTTGATGATTACCTGTTCTGTTCATTCCCTCTGAAGCACCTGGCATTGGCCACTGTCAGCAGACAGGGTACTGGGTTAGATGGACCATTGGTCTGGCCCAGTACGGCCATTCTTATGTAAAAAAAGTAATAAAAATGTTTAACACAGAAACTCCAAGATAACAGCCTCTCCAGATAGAGACAATGGAAGGTAACAACTTTGGAAAATAATGCATTTTAAAAATCTTGGCTGCTAGGAAACATATAGTTAAGTTTCCCAGTCACAAATCTAGCATTCTGGAGCAAAACATAGTGCAACAAAGAAATGTTCCTGTAATTTTCCCCTCCCTTCTCCCTCCACCGCACCTGATTCATAGTTGTTGTCCTTGAATTCAGAGGTGCTTTCACGTGAGCTAACCTCCCACCCTGGTGGGGATGGCAGGAGAGGCACCTTTCTCATTCCTCCAGCCTCTCACTCTGGGCACTGTTAGTTGTGCCACTATTAACTCACCACTGGCTCTGCACTGTTACCTTCTGCTGCTGCTATCTGCCACTGTGAGCTCTGCGAGTTGGTCTCTTGAAGTTCCACCAGCTCCCAGTGATTTCAGCTCTCAGTGGGGGAACCTCACTGCTAGTGCAGACTGGGCAGTCTCTTCCACATAAACACTGTCCTGCAGCAGGTCTAAGCACTTAGACCTGATTATCAGGGATTTCAACTCTAATGGTCATTAAAAAGAAAAAGAAAAAAAAAACAAAACAAACACACCACGACTCTCTATGGAGCCTAATCAACGCTATCTTTAAACTGGGAAGAGGGACAGGTCAAATAGTGCTTGTGACTCTTAGGTAGAGCCCACACCAAGCAAAACACCTATCCCCACCCTCTCTCTCTCTCTCGCCACGTGGGAGTCGGACACTACCCCAAACCCC